TCCAGCTGGGCTCCCTGGCCGAGTCCCTTCCACACTTACAGCCTGGTCTCAGCTAAGCCCTCAACTGAGCCACCACATAAATGATTAACCCTATGAGCAAATTGAATCAAAAGTTGAATTAGAAATAAATAAAAGCACACAATTACAAGCCCTCTTCCCCCTTCCTTGCCTGCCCCCCCAAGCCCCACTGAATAAAAAGAACTCCACGGAAATTCAGCCATTACACTTTTCTGAGCCCACGCAAGAGGTCCAAGCAACTTTTGTGTGAGAATGCCATGGCTCAGGGATGGCCAGGCCGGCTTGTTTTATTTCCAGTTAGACTCTTCTGAGCATCTTCTGCTGTTAACTCCAGCAAGAGGGAGAGATCCCAATCCCAGTTCCCACGTTTGCCATGGAGAGAAAAGGTTGCCCAGGCAACCGGCTGCTTGACTTCCCTTCAGCTCTGCAATCTAAAAATGGCTGTGATTAATTATGCCCTTGCCTAGAACTCCCCTTGCATGAAGGCCTTCCTTGCCAGTCGGTCTCAGCAGCCACCTGGTCTGTGGTGGACTTGGCAGGGCCGTGCAAGGGAAGAGCTCGCTCCCACGTGGCTCCACACACCCGGCAGAGATGAGGCAGGAGGTCAGCAGGGGCTGTTCCCGAAACCTGTCCAAGGTCTGTTTGCTCAAGCATCTCCTGATCAGGTCGGCAACATCCTCGCCCCCCACCCCACACTTGTAGCTTTTCGGGAACTTCTTTGCTGCTTGCATCGGCCTAGTTTTATTGTTCTTGGTACAGTACTTAGTTCTATTGTATCGACTTTGTTCTCTAAACCGCTTTGAGGTTACTGCGTTTTGTTTTGTTTTTTAATTGAAAACAATACAGAGTTTTTATGGCATCTGAAGGCTAACAAGGCTTAGTTGTGAACAAGAAGCCCTCCTACATTCCTGTCTGCAGAAGGCCAGGGGAGCAGGTTGGTGATCCACCAACCACTTAGGCTGAATAAAATGTGTTAAAAGTGCCGCAAGAGGGTTGTTTTTGCTGCAGACTTTTCAAAATGAAATGCAAAGGTATGTTAAATAGGTGCCAAGACCTGTGCACCAAGGGGCCTCCCTCTGAGGTAAGGCAGAGCAAAAGCCGGGCAGGGAGCCTCCTTGGGGCCCCCAGAATGTCTAGGGCAGACCCTGTCTGGGCCTGCCAGAGGGAAGCCACCGCTCGAATGGCTGCCAGGCAGCTCCCAACGCCCTCCTGAGCCACCTTCTCCAGCTTGGCAGGTGCGGAGCAGGCAGGGAGCCTTCCCCCGCCCCCGCCCCCCCCCGCGCGGTTGGCTTCCCTCTTGGGGAAGAAGGTCTGCAGCTCAAGGAGGGGACATCGGCCCAGATGGTGACCGGTTCTACCGCCAGAAGCACCAGTTAGGAGGATCCGGGTGCAAGAGGCAGGAGGCACCTCTGCCCCCTTCACCCCCTTCACCCCTCCGCCAAGAGCGGCGGCTGCCTTGCAGGGCACCATCCCAAGGCACCTTCCTTCCGCGGTCTGCAGACTCAAATCCAGCCCCCTGCCCCCGTTTCACTCTCCACGGGAGGGGCCCCGCGGGAAACGCCCCAAGGCTCCTGGAAAGCTCCCCGCCCCGGTCAGGCTTCCTCCTGGGGGGGGGCTCACTTTTTTTCAAGATTTTAAATAGTTCAATTGGAATGCCATCACCTCCACTGGCCTTGTTGTTAGCCAGGCTTTCTAAGGCCCACTTGACTTCGCTCTCCAGGATGTCTGGCTCAAGGTCAGCAACTACATTGTCTGGGTTGTCCGGGATATCCACATCTTTCTGATATAATTCCTCTGTGTATTCTTGCCACCTCTTCTTGACGTCTTCTGCTTCTGTTAGGTCCTTCCCATTTTTGTCTTTTATCATGTTCATCTTTGCGCAAAATGTTCCTCTAATATCTCCAATTTTCCTGAACAGCTCTCTGGTCTTTCCTTTTCTGTTATCTTCCTCTATTTCTTTGCATTGTTCATTTAAGAAGGCCCTCTTGTCTCTCCTTGCTATTCTTTGGAAGTCTGCATTCAAGTTTCTGTAACTTTCCCTATCTCCCTTGCATTTTGTTTCCCTTCTCCTCTCTGCTATTTCTAAGGCCTCGTTGGACAGCCACTTTGCTTTCTTGCATTTCCTTTTCTTTGGGATGGTTTTTGTTGCTGCCTCCTGGACAATGTTACGAGCCTCTATCCAAAGTTCTTCAGGCACTCTGTCCACCAAATCTAGTTCCTTAAATCTGTTCTTTACTTCCACTGTGTATTCATAAGGGATTTGGTTTAGATTATACCTGAGTGGCCCAGTGCTTTTTCCTACTCTCTTCTGTCTAAGCTTGAATTTTGCTATGAGAAGCTGATGATCAGAGCCGCAGTCAGCTCCAGGTCTTGTTTTTGCTGACTGTATATAGCTTCTCCATCTTTGGCTGCAGAGAATATAATCAATCTGATTTCGATATTGCCCATCTGGTGATTTCCATGTATAGAGTCGCCTCTTGTGTTGTTGGAAAAGAGTGTTTGTGATGACCAGCTTATTCTCTTGACAAAACTCTATTAGCCTTTGTCCTGCTTCGTTCTGAACTCCAAGGCCAAACTTCCCTGTTGTTCCTTTTATCTCTTGGCTCCCTACTTTAGCATTCCAGTCCCCTAGAATGAGAAGAACATCTTTCTTTGGTGTCAGTTCTAGAAGGTGTTGTAAATCTTCATAAAATTGTTCAATGCTCCCGTCTTGGGCAAAGAGGAAAGCTGAGGCGGCTACAGAAAGGGGAGAAGGCTGGCCAGGCTGAGCTCCGGGGGCAGCCCCTGGTTTCCTGCCTCAGGAATTCTCCACCGAAGGCAGCCTTTGGAAAGGATCGCCGCCCCGGGCCCCCTCCCCGGCGAGCAGGGCCCGGGACGCCCGAAAGAGGGGACCTCTCTGGCTATAAAAACAGTGACATCCCCTCTCTCCTTCCGGGACGGTGGGCTGAGATAACCCGCAAGGAGGTGCAGCAAAAAAGAAGAAGCAACGCTCTGGGGACCTCCTTTAAGCCTAACCGGTTTTATTGGGTAGACGTGCCCGTTGCCAAACCGTTTTGTTTCACAAAAAGCATCAGGCCAAACAATAAAGTAAACTGAACTTGCTCAGATGCTAGGCAAAGGCCAGGTCTGGAGAAAGGGAGGGGGGGGTCCTTGTCTCCTTCCTCCACCCCCCCTTTGTTCTTAAACATGGCACAAAACTACCCATCTTCCCTCCCCCCCCACGGGCCACTTTGTTTGTAACCACGTGCTCTCTTCTTGCTTCCTTTTCCTCCTGTGTCAATAACGTGAACTTTGCCTCCTTTCCGTGTAGAAAAAAACCACCCCAAGCTCCTAGGCGCATAGCCGAGCCCTCCTGAGGCCTCCCAAAGGGCTGGGGCTGACATGGCCGGCTGAGTTCACAGGTGGCCCTTCCTTGTTGTGTCTTGGCCTTTCCGCTGTGAGCCGGTGGTGCTGCTTGTGGGCTGGGTCACTCCAGCCCCTGGAAGGCCATGATCTTTGCCATCAAGTCTGGAAGAAGGTGACCAGACGTTCCTCCAGGTGGTGAGTGTGCCTCTGGACAAAGGAGGCATCGCCCGCCAGAAGCAGCCCCGTGCTTGCCTGGGCTGGCTTTCCTTTTGCCCAAAGACTCCCTCCCTGTCAATGGGCTGGGACTTTGGACAGAGGGTAGCGGCTGCCGTGTCGGTCTCTGCAACACCCAAGGGCCGGTGTCTGCTTCCGGGAAAACGATGTGATGCTTCTGGCCCTCTTCCAAGGAGGAGCATTTCTGGGCCGGGGCGGTGGAAGTCTGCCCAGGTGCCTCCCAACAACCCTGTGCAGTAGGTCAGAGCAAGGGGGCGGCCAAAGGTCACACTGCCTTTCTGGGTGCCTCGTTCAGGATATGGATCTCCTGGGTCCCCGTCAAGCAATGACACTCTGCTGGCTGCCGCCTTCCGGGTCCACCGTCAGGCAGAAGGTGGGAGCCCAGGGCAGAGGTCTGAGTCAAAAGGGAGATGGGGCTGGCAGTCCCGAAGAGGGACTGGAAGGGTCAGGACTGGAGCCTCGGACCTGGGTGGACGCAAAGAGCAAAGCCAGGCACCACGGAGAGGCCAGGCGTCTTCAGGCCCGGGAGCCTCTGGTCACCAGGTTGGCCCTGAAGACCAAGCTGGGTTCCTGCCAAGGGGCTCAGGGTTCGGCACGTGGCCGGGAGGGGGAACACCACCCAGCCTGGGAGAAAATGTGGTCACCACCTGCCCCCAGAAGGGAGAGCTGCTGCTGACTGCCCCTGACGTGAGGCTTGGGTTTCCCTGCAATTCAGTGCCCCAGATGAGCCAAGTGGCCTGCCCCAAATATCAGCTGGGTCATCCTCCTGGTGCAGCAAGACTTGCACTCCCCCCCCTCTCAAGGGCCAGCCCCACAGCCTGGCTTTCTGGAAAGAGCACTGGCGCACAGCACATCCTTCCCGCCATCCCTGCCCCTCCCAGAGCTGAGAGACCAGGAGGGCCTTCTGACGTGCAGAGGGGTGGGGGTGCGAGGAGTCCCCCCCCCACTGGATCACCCCTCCCACCCTCTGCAAGGGGGGTGATAAGCCTGGCCGGGGCTGTGTCTCCAGGGCCATGATAGCAGAAGGAGGGGGAGGGAGGGAGGGAGGGGCAGAACCGGCGCCTCCTGCAGCTTTAGTCCCCCCCCCACTGGATCACCCCTCCCACCCTCTGCAAGGGGGGTGATAAGCCTGGCCGGGGCTGTGTCTCCAGGGCCATGATAGCAGAAGGAGGGGGAGGAGGGAGGGAGGGGCAGAACCGGGCGCCTCCTGCAGCTTTAGCACTTACTGGAATTTCGAGAGTCCAGTTGTGAGTCGACAAATAAATAATACATTTTAATTGATGCGTAAAGTTGCAGAGAGCACTAGGCCAGCCCATAGGATCCCAGCTTCAAAGACCTGAGCTCCGACTGAAGAGAGTAAAGCTGCAGAGATTCAAAGGCGAGAGGACGAAGGTGGGGACAGGGCCCGGAACAGGCTGTGGGGAAACTCATCACTCCCACGGCCAGCGCTTAGGGAAGCCACAAAGGCAGAGCTTCTCCCCACCACGCCCGCCCCTGCCCCCCACCATGCGAGACTCCCCCCTTTTTAACCCTTTATCACCTCAAAGGCAGCTGCTCAGTGTGGAGCTTCTTGTCCTGCCCTCTCCTCATGTCTGCCCAGGGACTGGTTCAGAATGGGACTGGGCCCCATGGCTCGGCTGCTGGGACTGGGTCCCTTGGAGCACTTTGCCCCTGGGTTTTGCTAGCAGGATGGACTCCCCACCTGTTTTAATATCACAGAAGGGAGATGAACAGCTGAAAAACACAGCATGTCCTCTTGCATCCGGGTTGATTTACTGTATTTAAAAAAGCATACACTCTCCTTGTAACCAGGACACACACACACCCCGCCTCCCAAAAAGGATCCTGACAGCAAAAGGAAACATAAGTGCTTAGACGATTCCCCCTGCCCCCCCCCGGCCCAGCTGCATTGAAGCGGGAAGGTGGTGTGTGTGTGTGTGGGAGGGGGGAGTTGGAGGGAAAAAAATGTATGTCCTGAATGACTGCAAGATGTTGGCAACAGCGAAGGAAAAATGCTGCTGAGTTGCCTATACAGAGAGCTAGGTTGTGGGTGGCATTTGGTTGAGAAACAAAAAATCCCCGGGGAGACGGGGACGCCCACCACATGCGGCAGCCGGAGGGTGGAAGGGTTGGCTCGAACCCTGGCTTGAGG